CAGCAGCTTCTTCTAAGGAAATTATACTCTATTTAATAATCTTATACCCCCTCCTGCCCCCCAAATATCTTTTAATGAAACAGTTAAGGCCTACAGCCTTCTTAGGGCCATAGATACAGCATTAAGCAATAACATGGAAATGCAAGACCAGTCAAATATTGCTTAAGCCGAGATGTGTAATCTTAATCATAGAAGCCATGAATAAGTGAGACTGAAAAACAAAATAAAACCTCCAGAATTTTGAACCCTTGCCTTAGCAGGACACCAACATCCCTCACCCCCCTACTTTACCTGTGGCAGTTCAGCATGCTCTTGGTGTCTTTGGGCAACATGTCTTTTAGTTGTACAACAGGGTTGATTGGGTAGTTTTAGGAATGTTTGGCTCATGCAAGTGCTTGTCTGTTAGGGTAGGGATGATTCTGCCTTGGGCAGAGGGTTGAACTAAATGACTTCCTGAAGTCCTTTCCAGCCCCTTTCCTAGCATCCCACTGCAAGATGAATCAAAAGTTAACCTTGTTCACTGTTCCCTCTACTATCAGTTTCTCTATTTACAGTCTTTGTAGGTCACCAATTTGCTCAAATGATTTGATTTGTTCTCTTTTTTATTAATATTCTTCCTTAAAGGGAAAAAAAACCAAAACCCTTAATTTTTCATTTCTTAACACTTGCACAGACTGAATGAAAGTCATTGCCATTGACTTCAATTAGGCCAACTTGCATTAATTTCAGGGGTACAAGGATATCAACTGTAAATACACAGATGACTAGATAAAGTCTTTAATTAGGGAGAAAACAAAAACATCTACATAGTTATATATGATTCTATGAACTGACCCCTAAAGGTTAGGAGTATGGCAACAAAGAGCTGGAAAATTTTCTGCTTGGATTCAGAAAATTCTCAGGGAAGTTTTCCTTTACATGAAACTTGGTGTAGACATTTGAGCCATGGAAAGCTAAAACAGATTTTTTACTGCCCTGCAGTTAGGATGTAGATTTACATACATGTTCCAGGTGTGCTATAGACTAGAAGTCTGTCATCACTGTCCTGAGTTCTCCAAGAAGCCACCTCAGTAAGGACACAAATGATCACACACAAAAAAACAAAAACAAAAGCAAAAAAAACCCAAACCCCCCCCCCCCAAACAAACTGTGTGGGGGGAGCAATTTTAAGAATAAATGCTTACTTTGATGGCTTGCTTTTCAAGTTGGAAAATGTGCATGGAGATGCAAAGAGGACAGTTACATATAAAACAAGGCTATGAAAGCTCTCTGTAATGCTACAGATACAGTTCTCAAATATCATCTTAGAGCATTTGAAGTCTGATAAGTGAACATTGCCATAAATTGCATGTAGTCAATTGACCAATATTAAAGTTGTGTGGTACACTTAAACAAGTTTATATTCATGCAAGACTGAGTAAGTACATGCTGCTGTACTACACCACAATGTAAGCTACAAGACTAGGTGTCATAGTTTGAAGGTTAAGAGAACACACAAAACAAGAAGTCTCCTTTTCTTTACTATGTTGGGAGAATATTTCTGCATCTTGTTGACAGACAACTATATTAAAAATAAAATAATTTTATTCCCAAATGTTTGTATCAATGTGAAAGTTTAAAAACCAGAATCTGTGTGTTATTTTCTACTGACCTTGTCAAAGAAAATATTATCTATTCACCTCTCAAATAATCTTACCTACTTTCTGCTCACAAGCTGATAAAAGTCACTTTTGATCTTGGAATACAGTGGGATGTGAAATCTTAGGAGTTATTGTTAGCTTTATGAGTACTTGCCTTGTTAAAATGTTTCACCTTTCCTACATTTTTTAGTCAGTGAGAATAGCTTCTCTCATTTTTCCATTTGAAGAAACATACATCTCACTGCTCTTCCAGAAAAAGAACTGTTCCAATTTCTCCCCCATGTGTTCAATCTGTTTACTTACAGAAAGTGGAAGACACTTCAATTATGACAGTGCTGTCCATTTGAACAGGGAAGCCTGAAGGCCACATCCAACCTCCAAGGTATTAAACTGAAGCTCCCTATCTGGGTGCTACTCACCCGACAGCTCAAGCTGCTGATGTCTCCCAGCTGCCCATCCCTCCTCTGGTTTTCTCTGCCTGTCCCTGCCCCTAGGGATAGGGCAAGGCCAAGGGAGTCCACAGCCAGGTGGCTTATGGGTTGCTGAGGATCCCAATCAGCACCATGTGGCAGCGCCAACAAGGCATAGTGAAGTCATGTGTTGTGCAGCAAGTAGAATGAGAAGCTGTCCTGGGTATGACCATAAACTGTATCCAACTGGAAAGCCTGGTGGCAATGTGGTAGGACTATTCATGGCAAAATAGCTATTATAAAATATGAATGTTGTAACTTCCAGAGTAAGGCAAGTATAGGGCACCTCAAAGCACTATCCCCCACAACTTTGTGGGTACTTCTTGGTTGAAGAAAGGCTAAGGGACATCAGTCACCCCAACAGAAACACACCCTTGCTGAGGCATTAGGTAGTCAGCAGCAGTTTGCATGCTTTGGCAGAAGCTATAACCATTGAAGAACTGAACATCTGGACTCAGTCTGGCCTTTGGATTCTGGTTCAATGGTCTAAAGCAGGGTAGTAGGTCTTAGGCATCCTCCATGCTCTTGCCTAGGCATATGCATTGAATGTCTTGATGCAATGACTGCAAGCCTCCATATAAGCAGATTCATCAGGCTCCTAACTAGACTTCTTATACATACACCATGATCCAAAGGATTGACAGTTGCCTACTAGTATGGGGCAGCATGCAGGGCATAGGGATCTCTGCAGCATATGGCTGTGAAAAGGGGGGGGGGGGGGGGGAAGGGACACGTGTGGCCCCAGCTACTCCAAAATTGGACAACCCTATATCAGAATATATGTTAATAAATAAGTCAGGTTGATCAAGTTGATTATTAAATAGGTTATGGAAATAGCTGTCACCAGAGTTACATAACTAACTATGTAAAACAACAACAACAACAACACTGGTATGCAAGAGAATGCTTGAGCTTGAACAAGGACTAAAATGAGAACTTGTTTTTAGGTTGTATCAAGCCCCCCCCCACAAAGAGTACCAAGAAAATTACTTGTAAGCTGGAGAATCATTGTACTTTGGTCTTCCAAAGAGGCTGAACTTAATCGCATGATAAACCTCAAAAGCCAAGGTAAATTGAATACCTGTCATATCCCACACCAAGAGGCAAACTGAAGGTAAGCCGATGCAGCTGCCAGACAGCCTGAAACAAGAGTTTGAAGTAAAGTGCAACTGCAGCTGCCTTTTATTGTAATATTATTTCTGTGGACTGAGACAGAGGTATTAACTGTTCCTCAAGAAAATGCTTATTCAGAAAGACTAAATACTGTGGCAGATACAGGGGTAGGGTTGTTTGAAAACATGAGTTTTCATGAGCTGAAGCACACTTCATGAGATGTTGTACAAGGATATGCACAAAGGATCTCTCACAAAAAGAGAAATTTGAATACAAAAGCAAAAGGGAGGGGCAGAATGGGAGAAGGGAGGGGATGGCAGGCAGTAATGGAGGAGTCAAACCAACCCATAGAAGCAAAGGAGTCACAAAAAACTAATCCAGGTAATGGGATAAGAATGCCTAGTCCTTTTTAAAACCATACTTAACACAATCCAGCCTGTGGATGATTTCTTATTCCACAATTTCCTATTCAAATCTGTTTTTAAAGGTTTACTGCCGGAGAACAACCACCATTAATTTCCCTGGACACTTTAGCTCTGAGCTAAAGTGTTTTCCCCTGGGACTGCATGTCTTCCTGCAACTGATGTCAGATTATTGTTCAGGGATCATCCAGTCTGTTCAACAGGGGTACTGTCAGTGGGTTACGGCATATATGACACTGGTAGAATTGCAAGTGAATGAACCTCAGAGGTTATAATCAATATTATTCAGTCCAGTGATGATGTAGTCTGTATTGATACTGGGGCACAGAGGACATCTGGGTCTGTTTGCAAGGCCTGGTGCCTCCGTGAAACTGGGAGTTAGGCAACCTATTGCTTCAGAAATGCTGTTTGAAG